ACTGCACCTGATAAAATAAGTTGCAATAAAAAGACATTTCTTATTTCATTAAATTCCCAATTTTGTTTGAATACAGACGTGTAAGCTTTGAAAACATCGCAGTACATTTGTACATGAAGATTAAACGTTTGGTTAAAAAGAACAATTTTAAAATTCGTTTCCACAGCTTTCTCATAAGACTTTAAATGTAACACATAACTGGTACTAAATAAACATTATTAAAATTTTAAAAAAAGTTCAATAAATAATACATTTTTTTATCTAATATATTATTAAATATATATAAATTTAAAATAATTCAGTAATAAAATCCTGAATCTAGGAATAATTGGAAGTGAATAATCATTTGACTTAATCTTTGTTTGTGTCGTCATTAAAAAAGCAGTTTATCTGACCTTTGTTTGGTGGTGCGTAATTAATTCATACTTCACTAATGCACAGTATGTTTGTCAAATTGAAGATGAATTAGTACTGTTGTGAATCTTAACCTCTTTAATAGTGTGTAATCAGATTACTTAATTACTTGTAATTTGATTACCTGTGTTTAGACTTGTGTCACCAGGATTTTAGATTATTTTACATATGTACAGCAGTGTTTAATTAGGCAACGTGTTTATTGGAGTGTAATCAGATTATTTGAAGTGTTTTGGCTCTTTGTAATCAGATTACTTGACTCGGGTTTAGTGGTGCGTGTAGGAGCTGATGCTGCTGGTCCGAGTCGCGAGAACTGTAAGGACACATCTGCTTTTTCACATATTGAGCGGCTCACACTAGACACACACACAGAAACTGTGTGTGTGTGTGTGTGATCTCATGGTAATTGCAGCATGACAGCAGCAGCAGTAGCGTTCCAGCGCTGATCCTCTGTTTCCTGCAGCCTCTCTGTCTAATTACCAATGACACACACTATTAACGTGTGCAAATGGAAATCAGTCAGCGACCATTTTTTTTCCCTCTGAAGTCTGCGTTGCCAAAATCATAACCACGGCAGACAAAAGCCTCCCACAAGAAATTAATTTCCCCGGTCATTCACAAAAAGCCATGACTGAGTGATGTTTTTATGACACTGTGAAGCTCGGAGACGGTGTGGAATGTCATTATTGTTTATTTTCTGATCGGTGGTTTTTGGTTGGTTTAGCAGAAGAGGGATTCATTGATGGTGATGTGGTGAGAGAGTGTGTGTAATTGTATTTATGAGGCCTTGTCATGGTTCCCCCCCCTCTCTCCCCTTAATGCTCATGTGCAAAACTGCCACCGCACCGTCGTCCGTACTGTTTTTATTACACCCTGCGCCAAGTGCTAACAGCTGAAGACGAGTGGCTGCAACTACAATTAGCATCTTAGAAATAATAATCATGCTAACGAGCAGAAGAGCATTGTGGGTAATTGGGATAATGGAGTGGATTAGTGGTAGAAATGAAGCTGCCGATGATGAACAGGTGCCAACATTTTAATTTTCTCTCTGACTCGGGTTTAACACAACTTGACGTCGGTGTAAAAAGTGACTGGTTCTCTTAAAGTTGTGTGACGTTTAATTTCTGTCGTTTGAAATTGAATAGAAGTTAATAAATAAATACCTAATGCTAATGAGTTACTGACATCACTGTGATGTGTGACCTCATTTCTCTAATTTATACACTACATTTTCTCATTTTTATACCAAACTCATTAGGGAGAATAAAATTCATCTTTATTGAAATATTAGAACCGTGTGTGTCGACTGATGCTCTGGGTGGCAGGTTTCTGTCACTAAAGTGAGTGAAACTAACCATAACCATAAAAACACATTTCTGGCTCACAGATGGAAGTAGCAGTGGATCAGTGAATCCTGTTAGCCATAACAAAATGTTTATTTTTCTCCATAGACCTTGGTTTTGGGAAAGTAGTTTAATGCACTTTTTTTTTTTGGTTGGTTTAATTTGAACTGTTTGTTTAGGAACACAATTACGGATTTAAAAAACCAAAAACCAAAATGATTTAAGTAAACACATAAGTATAACTGTGGTTAATCTGTCAAATATTGATAACGTTTTAATATTTGTATAGCTGTGTTCGTGACAACATTTTTGGAATCATAGTATGATAGTTAATAATTAACTTATATAAAGACAATAATATAAATATATACACGTGTGAGCGTCTTTGTGTAAGTTAGCTTCTTTTCTCTTGTCAAATTTCCCTCACAGACTCATTAACTTCTGTCCACATGTGCTGATGCCGAAGCCTCATTAATATTTTTCTTCTCTCCTTTTCATTTGACAGGTTCTGACATGTTTTAATACAATTAATTATCACTTTAGGTTTCATCACTTAAACAAGGTCGAAAATTAACAAAGCACACTTGAAAACTTAGCTAACGATATAACCGCACGGACAGTTTTTGTTTGTCTGAGTCAAATGCTGTTTTCTTCTTCTCTGCATTTGTTCACTGAGGTTAGTGTTGGAACAACAGTGGTGAGAAGTTGTGCAGCTCACAGTTGAATTGTCTGCCCACATTTTAAAAACAAAACCCAGCCAGTTTAACAGATGTGTCTAAAGCAGGAGTAGTTACTGCATCGTCCTTATGTTAGTTTGTTTTTGCCGTTGGCATGCAAGCTGCTACAGAACTTTCAGTTCATAACAAGCAGCGGGATTATCTTAGCTGAGCATCAGAGAAGACTATTTGAAGTTATACAAACAAAAACTATTTTTGGTGTAGTAGAACACAATTACAGCATTATTTGAGGTAGGATTAGTGGTGAGTAGTTTTCAAGTTGGCCGTGTATGTGTCCAAATGTGGCATCAGGTTAACGTTTTGTTGCTCGAGGTGTACAGTGTAATAGAACAGTGGAGCTCTGTGCTGTAGTTAGCTGTCCAGCCACGGGCAGAGGACAGTTATTGGTTCAAAAATGTCAGTCCTAAGATTAACTTCTCATACCTAGGAAGGGATTAGTTTTTACAAACCTAATGGATAACTTGTTCTGGCACCTCCTGCAGGGGAATGCGGAGGGTTACATCTGTAAACAGACACGGAGAGTTGTTGTATACTCCTTCAAAGATTGTGAATAGAATTTACTTCGACGTGGATTCAAACTCACAGTTCCTAGAGGAAGTCACCTCGCTCCCAGCCAGAAAACCTCAACGCGTCCAGGGGGAAAAAACTCTCACAAACATCCGCCGAATATTTTTACATCAATCTCGTTTTTGTTTCCTAAAACGCTTGGTGATCAATATAATGGCAGTGACTCAGAAAAATGTTTATTCATCCTCAGGGTTGGTTTTTGGAAAGTTGCCCGTTATCTCTCTCTCTCTCTAACTCTCTAACTCTCTCCCTCTCTTACACTGTTTTCCCCAGACGGCACATTAAAACAGCCGTGACCTTTCTGCTCCCCATTACTGATTCTTAATGCCTCATTTGTAGCCCGCTTTGTTTAAAAGACCGCTCTAACGCTCACAGCGCTGGACCGAGTGAGTGTGTTGGTGAAGCCCATGGTGTGGAGAAGAGAAACGTAGGCAACGGATCTGGATTTACTGTTTAGTTTGAGGCCCAACAAACACCACCAGAAAATATAAAATATTTTCAAAAAGCAACATAAATTATTCCTTAAACCAGAACTTTTCTGTCAGAAAAAACCTCCTCGACAACACAGTGATTAAATTAGATCTGTGTATCTGAACTACAGATCATATGTAAGACATGGATGTAGAGGCCTGTCTACTGTGAGGCCTAGCTTATAATAATGTCCATGAATAGTGACTTTACTGAGTAGAAATAATTTGAAAAATTCTAACATTAGATAAAGCCTGAGTATAATAATCCAATATACGGATTCAGATTACAGTTGCTAATCCCAGTGGCCCACTACAAAACAAGTGATAGATTTGTAAATTACCTTCCTAATCGAAGGAAAATAGACAGTAAAGCTAAATGCCACATGTGGTTTATAGCTACAGTACCTTGAATCTCCGATGGTTGGTCGAAGGAACGCAGGCGTAGGACGACATAGAATACAATTTGACAGATTAGGACAGTAAAGAATTCTGATTAAAATCACGTTCATTCTTACTTTTCATGCTCTTTTATTGAAGCCAAGTTGATCAATTCACACCAACTGGATGTTTTTTCCCCCCGTTTTTTATTGCATTCATGTGTCATCTAAAAAACTATGGATCTACTGAGGTCTCTGAAATCGCCTGCAGCTTCTCTGAGTTTATTGACATATTTAATGGAAATGCTACTTTCTTAAATGCACGAGATAAAAAGTATAGTATTTATATTGAGTATTTGGATTCTTTCTGTCTTTTACCAAATCCAGAACTTTGTACAAATTCCTGAAGCTTCAGAGTTTTTTGTTTTGTTTCACCTACTTGTTTGTTCTGCCCATTAATAGACACAATATTTTGGAGAAAACCTTCTAAACCTACAAACACATTTTAAAGTCTGTATAAAATAACAGTCTTCCTTTCTTTTCCTTCTCTCTCCCTCTCTCTGGGGTATTGGGCTCCGTCTCTGTGGTTTTCATAGCTTTATGTTAAAGGTCACGCATATATAGATAAGGGAGACACACACACGCACACAGTGACACACACACACAACGGCACACACACACTGTTCTGTTCTGTTTTCCGTCTGTTATCACCTCTGAATTTCTCCTGGTGATGTCAGTGTCTGTTAGGAAACAGGAAGTGTCTCACAGTCTGTCTGTCAATGCTTTAGTATGTGAGGTCATCTGACTCACTGTGTGTGTGTGTGTGTGTGTGTGATCCAAAAAACATTATCTTTTGATATCACATAAATAAATATAAAAAATAATAGATAATAGCCCAGCTTTTATTAACTGCCTTAATTCATGTCGACTGATGATAAAACTTCATCACAGAAAAGTTTAACACGAGCGTGTTCTGTAAATCTTTTTTAGATAACTTTAAATTAATTTTAATATTTGAGATTTTGAAATTTAAATGATTGTTTTATTGCTTAAGGTGACGATGGAACCTTTGTTTGTGTGCCTGTGTTTCAGTGGGGTCGGTTTGGCCCGAGCACACTTTGAAAAGCAGCCACCCTCCAACCTGAGGAAGTCCAACTTCTTCCACTTTGTACTGGCCCTGTATGACCGTCAAGGCCAACCAGTGGAGATTGAGAGGACGTCGTACGTGGACTTTGTGGAGAAGGACAAGGTGACACATAAACACACGCCCAAACACAAGCTCAACTTTATAAGACTGATTAAAGAGACATTTCTGGTTGTGATTTTATCAGTGGAATCAGTAGACAGTAAGTCTTCACATCAGTTTTCTCACAGACCATAAACAGCAGCTTTTCAAGCAGCTGCTTTAGAGCATGTCCTTAGGCAAGGTCAACCCCCGACACAGGTACACCCCAAGATACCATTTTTATTTTGAAAACAAAATTAGTAATTTATTAAAACTAAATTTTGGTCCATTTGAATCAACTTTTCTGAGATTGTTATCATCGTATAATTGGTTTTACATTTGGCCAAATGTAACCATTTTTGACAAATGTTTTTGTGAAGTGGCACCATTTTGTTTAACTCTTAGTCAGTTTGCATTATTTTTTATGTTTCAGCCACAATGTTCTGTCATGCACAGTAGTCAGAGTACTTCCTGCTGCTAGCCTGGGATCCTGCTATATGGAGGATGAAGCTCTAAAAGCAAAGAATCCTTTTTTATAGGGTCTTTCAGATAGTACTGTGCCACTAGAGTGCACTCTACCAAAGTCCAGCAGGAAATCATGTTTGATTCTTTGCTGTCTCCATCCAATGAGCTCAAAGGTGTGTGTTTTTTTGTGGCTAAAGAGGTTAAAATCTTTTTTTGGGATTTGCCTCCATCACACTAACTCACAGCACGAAGCAGCAGTGGAACACCTGCTCTTTTGTCCTTGCAAAAATAAAATTGAAGGTTTTATCCACTGACTTTGGTTGTGGGAGAATGAGTTGAAACAGTGCTGTGAAGTCAGGCTCCATAAACTGGAGCTGTCCTGGAAGACCTTCACTTTAGATCTAGCCTTAGACGGAGGAACATATTCAAGGATTGGGTTTTTGTTTTTCATTTGAATATGAATATTACTACTAATGATAGTTAGACCCAGGCAGGTTTGTTCTGTGATCAGCTGCCAGTTGGCACCAACTCCTCCCCTATCCTCCCACTCACTCTCACCTCACCTCTGCTTTGACCTCCAGTCTCTCGCCCTGACACACACACACACACACACACACACACACACACACACACTGGGACTTAGCCAACACTCCCAGGCTCAGTTGGCACTGGGCGAGCGACCAAAAGAGGCTGAAAGGAGGTGAAGTGGAGGCAGGGCATTAAATAAAAGGGAATAAAAGAAAATATTGACATATAAAATAAATAAAGAAGGATGAGGAAGAGAACAGATGTTCCAGCTGTGTATGACCAATAAGGTCAAGATAAAAAACCCAATGTTGCTGAAATAAAATTAAAATGTTACACTTTTAATCAGAAGAAATGATGATGCTCTAGGTCTGAGAACTGCTAATACAGAAGTAGTCGATTATCACTGATTGCGGAACGATGTCCGTGTTGTAATCATTATGATAAGGAGGATTTTCTGATCCTCGTCCTTCCTGTTTGCGCGTCTTACACATCTTTGTGTCTTTGTGTGACAGGAATACAACGGTGAGAAGACAAACAATGGAATTCACTACAGGCTGCAGCTGCTGTACAGCAATGGTGAGAACACACCTGTGTGAACCCCTTTACTGTCTGAAGCCAATGTCAAAATCTTTTATTTTGTTTTATTGTTTTACTTACTTACTTTCAATAGGATCAAAATGTAAAAATCTAAACCATGGCAAGAATTAAAATGTGCAGATAATGATTTGTCTCAGTTCCCATTAATGTAAACATTTAGTTACAAAAAACCTAAATATTTTGTGCCTTAACAGTTAACACATGGCTACAATGTTCAATTTTATTATTTTCATGGATTTATGTGAAAGCATATAACATGAAAACACTTTCCTAAATTATTGTTTTTTAAATGGAATATTAGTGTAACAAGTGTATCATATGGACAGCGTCCTTTTGTTTTAACCAACCAACATTTTTAATTACAAACATATTGTCCTGCCACAAATCTCACATTAATGAATCATTTATCAGGAATTTCTCCAACTATAATTTGAAGATGTCTCCGAGCTTCTCTATGGATTCAGCTCCCACACAAACCTGAAAGTTTATGACTTTGAAGCAGTCTGGTCTGTATGGAGGAAGGTTAGTAGAGATATAGGCTGAACATTGTCCCTTTACGCCCTATTAGCTTCTTGACCATGTCCTTTGCTGCCCATAGAAGATATGGGAGGAAAGTGAAAACTCTTCACAACTAAGAAACTCTGGTCTCAACCACCAGCAGTTTTATTTAAAGGCCGCCGTCAAACAAAAAACATCATTAGGTTTTTCCCTTTAGGAAGAAGGAAGGAAAGAGAAACATCTGGAATACACTGTGTTATGTGTTGGTGGAGGATCTGGCTCTGACGGCGCACACGGCCCATCACTGTGAAGCCTTCACTGTCTTGATGAAGTGGGACATAAAACAACGTTTTCTTTCTCGGGATCATAAATCTCTCTAATATGGGCCAGTGGTGGCAGCGGTGGATTAGCGTCGTATGGCCGTAATTGACCTCATCTGCAGTGGGGACGGATAGTCGCCATTTAGAGTGTGACTGCTGTGCTCCGAGAGCCAGAGTAAGGCGTGAATCATGTCAATTAGGAAGTGCAGGAAGCTGCGAGCAAACGGCCCGAAAAACAAGACACATGGAAAGCAATTAGAGCCATGCCGCCGCTAACAGGTGTTCCCTGCTATTTTCCTGCTCCGCCACACGCCGCGTCTGTGCTCAGACGTAGCGCTAATAAACCGCAAGTCTGATTAATGTTTCATTTGTCTGAGAATCAGAATGCTCGTTATCCAGCAGAAAGACAGGGGGCAGCGCGGAGACGAATATAAATAATAAAGAGGTCTGTAGCTAATGTTTGTTTAGGCCCAGGAAGGAGGAGAAGGAGGAGGAGGAGGAGGAGGAAAAGTAGGAGGAGTAGGAGAGAGAGGAGGTACTGGAGGGACCTCAGCTATATAAACATAAATACACAACAAACAAGGAAATGAACCGTGACATCATTTTTTTCACTAATGATAATTACGGACAGCTGACATCATCAAATTAGCATAAGACGCTAATGTGCACGTCTGTGTCTCACTCATGTGCTGTTGATTCTTTTCCAGGCATCAGGACGGAACAAGATCTTTACATCCGACTGATCGACTCCATGACCAAACAGGTGAGAAAACTGCAACAACGAAACCCAACCCTAAAAAACGATGTAAACTATTACATGTCATGTGGTAAATAAGTCTGAACTTTAAGGATCACAGGAAGGTGAGTGTCAACCTGGATCAAAACCTGGAAAGTTTGGTCCGTGGTCCTAAACCCGCCTAATTAGTGCGTCATGTGGGTTAGTTTGACAGATGTAACCCAAATCCTCATAAAGGTTTGCTTTTACAGAGGGATATTTGTTGGATTTCGCAGAATTTCTCAAAAAACAATGCGGAACACACACTGGAAACTTTCTTCCTTCCTTCCTCTCTGCATCTTTTCCTTCTTTTCTCTCTTTATTTTTCTGTCATCTTTCTCTTTTCAACCCATTCCTCGTTCACCATATCTGGATCTTCATCCTTCCTTCTTCTGTCTGTCATACTTTTTTCATCTGTTATTTTCTCCTTTGTTTCCTAAATCTTTTCTTCCCTACTAGGTTCCTTTGTTTTTCATTCAGTCCTTTATTTCTTGCCATTCTCTACATCTCCCCCTCTTCTTCTTCCGTTCGTTAACTTTTTTCCTTGTTCCTGAGGTTTACTTCCCCCCCTCACTTCTTTCTTCCTCTCACCTCTCCTCTACAGTCTTTCTGTCCTCACCCTCCCATCGTTTCCCCTTTTTGCTCTTGTTCCACGCCTCTGTGTTGGATTTCAGAAGTGTGAATGTTGCGGTGCCAGGAACAATTGCAGTTTATTTCCAGTCTGTAGTGTGGTTAGGTCGATGTAGAGGAGTCAGGACTTAAACTGGAGCTGCTGCAGTCTGGGCCGCAGCTTAGGTAACGGCTGATCCACTGCATGAGAACATGGAGTTAAACATATGTGACGCTGGGCCTCAGACAGGAAACTTTAACTGTTTGATTAACTGAAGACCTCACCCTCCTGTCATCATCTCACCACCTCCGTCCCTGTCACCTCCTCTCCTCCTCCGCCTCCTCACACGCTGGTCTTCCCTGTCGGCATGTCAGCGATCGATGCAGCGAGCGTCTCTGCACACAGAAACAGATCAATGGCCTCTAATGTGGCGCAGCGACGGCGGCACACTGGAGACAAGGATGCTGACCCACACGCACACTCTCTCTCTCTCTCTCTCTCTCTCTCACACACACGCACACACACACAGTGTCACACCTGACAGCAGGTTGACTGAAAGGCCCCACAGATCAATAAAAGCTCACAGAGGGACAGTTACGGGCTGCGACCACAGGAGTCTGTGACTGCACCTGACCGCCACATGGAGCACTGTAGCCTCTGACACACACAAAGTCAAAAACACACACACGCACACACACAACCTCACGCAGTCAGATACACTCACACACAGACGTACACACAAGGGATTGATGCATGAGGAATAATGATGTTTAAATATCGACCACCAAAGATACGCACAGGAGGGCCCCTGCATGTGTGTGTGTGTGGTTGGGTGTACATGCGTGTGTGTGTGTGTGTGTGTGTGTTTAGCAATCCACATCCCTCCTGGTCAAACTGGAGCATTTTCATCCTCTAGGATCAGAATCAATAATGCAGAAGTGGTCGTTATCCTAAAAGTATTGTCCCCCAGGGCTGTGTGTCTGTGTCTGTGTGTGTCTGTGTGTGTCTGTGTGTGTGTGCGTCTCTGTCACATAGCAGGGTGGAGGTCTGTTTTGACTATAAAGGTGGATGAGGTAGTGGTAGGTCATGGCAGAAAAAGACAGGGGAGGAGAAGGGGGGAGGACGAACACGTGCACTGACTGGAGTTCATTTACAACCACTGGGATATTACACTCACACTCACATACACACACACACCCACACACACACACACACACACATACACACACACCTCTCCCTTCTCTCAGCGGTCATCCGTCATCCGGACTCTGACATGACAGCTCAGTAGGGGTGAGGGTAGGAGGACAGGGGAGAGAAGTTGGGGGGTGCTCATCCTGGGGTGCCGCCCGCCATCTGGCAGGGAATTCTGGGAAAGACAGAGGAGGCTGGGACCACTGAGGGGGGTGGGGGGAGTAGGTCTCGGGCTGTCAGAGTAAGCTGCCATTTTGTACAGTAATGAAGAAGTGTGTGCGCACGCCCCTGTGTTATTATTATGTATTGACACACTTGTTTCATGTCTCGTTACATACATAGATGAGTGAATAAAAGTAGTTCACACGTACTGTAAAGGATGCAGCGTCAGTATCAGCCAGTCTCTCCCTCAACCAGTTCCTGTCCAATCTTCTTATAGTTTGGAATCAAAAATGGAAGCAAAGGTTGAATAATTTTGTCATCTACATTTTAGTCAAGAGTTGTTGTTTCCTGTGTCCATGTCTTGCTGTGTCCTGCTGTGTGACATGTCTCTGTTTTTGTTTCATTCCAAACAGCCAATCCTGTATGAAGGTCAGGACAAGAATCCAGAGATGTGTCGTGTCCTTCTCACCCACGAGATCATGTGCAGGTAAACATCTCGAAAACCATATGTTTGAATTTCAGATGTTAAAATCATGGCCGTGGATTTAATCAACACTGGTGTGAAAACAACAGTGACGTAGTGTCCACTCTCCGGTGACTTCCTTTAAATAAGGAGAAACGGGATTTAACTGACTTCTGGACTTGCTGTAAAATATCCACATACCCAGAATGCAGTTCAGGAATCTGGGAAAAAGAGAACCGCTTTTCAGTTGATTCTGCTATTATTTATTAGCAGCAGCAGCAGCAGCAGCAGCAGCAGCAGTAGTGTTGCACTGGGGTCACACGTGTTTGTACATAGAAATGGAACCGTTGATCTTTTGTTGTTAGAGTCAATTGAAACCTTTATTTAAGTTTAAACAAAGCCGAGTTATTTTCTGCTCAGTGTTTACAGAAGTTTCTGATCCATTACTACAAACACACCACCACATCTGTTTATGTGTGTGTAGGTGTGTGCGTGTGAGCGCATGTGAGTGTGTGTGTGAAACGCAGCTGTTGGTTCGTCGTTCATCACACCAATCAACACGTTGGCTGGTCCTGTGTCTGCTGTCATCTGAGAGTTAATGGTTTTACTGGTACAGAGAGAGGAGTGATAAAAATAGACAACAAACAAACACACACACACACACACTCTCTCAAAAGCACAGATTGAAGGTGTAGTCGAATCTTGAGTCACTGATATTTTCTTAACCTCTTGGTTGAGAAAACCACATGAAACCTAAAACTACAGCCTTAACATGGCTTATTGTATTTAACGGTTACGTTTCTGGTTTAGTTTCCAGTACTTTGTGTCCATCACCATTTATAGAACATCAAATTGTTGATTAGTTGTTCGAAGCTAGAACTCAGTAAACTACTGTGACTAAATGTTTGAGGCCATAACACACACAGTATAAAACACTATCAAATACATCAATTTTGACCAATGTCACTTTAAAAAAAAAATTCAGTCCATCACTGGTATCAGTTTACCGTGTATTCTCCACAACTGTCGTCCGTAGCAGAAGCAGAACGACCTACAGTAGCAGTAGTTGTTCAGTGTTTTACCAGTGTAATCATAAAATAACACCATGGCCACAAGGGGTGAAATAAATCTCCAAACACTGACACAGATAATGGTAATAAAAATGACTGTAGAAATGGGATTCATATGAAGCCAGCGTGTTACATTTTTATTAATGTGGACAAATGTGTAGGAGTAGATAATGTAATGTATCATCTCAGTCCTTTTTGAATGGCGTGGTTTAACATTCCCATACAACTCTAAGATACATGTGTTCATATGTATATGTGTGGGTTGGTGTGTATTTATATATATCAGGTTTTATGGATAAAAAAGTACATTTGCATTTTGCATTTTTTTGCGTATTCAATTTTAAATTAAAAAAAGAGACAGGTCTTAGAAGCCGTGTTGCTAGCCAGTGCTAACTGTCTAAAAGAAAGTTGTTTTTTTATCTGTTCAGGTTCTGTTAATCAGTGGTGTAGCTGTTTAACAACTGAAGAAGTTCAGGGAAGGGAATTCTAAGATGATTTAAAACTACACTGTACGCTGCTCTATACAGTGTTCTTCTGACTAGACTTAGCTTAGCTGTTCTTTTTGGAAATTAAGAGGCTCCTCATCACATTTAACTGGTGTAAATAGATGTAAATGCATTTAAATGTGCACCATAGAGATTTAATGAAAACACATAAAACTTAATCGAGTCTTAAAGTGTTAGGGTCAGAATTACTTTCCTCCGCTGAGATTCCTTCAATAGCTTCATTTCCATAACGCCGTGTGTCAGTTCATCATGTGATTGAGTACCGTCATTACCCAGAATCCCCTAATGGACACTTTGTTTCCATTCACTAATGAGTCCAGCTCGCTGTGTCTCTATCACGAGGCTCCCAGGTGAGCTCGTCCCAGTGGGTTAGTCTACCTGGATTACAGTGAGTACAGATGGAGGAAAACACCATTATTGCCTCCGTCAAAAGTGTTATTTTATCATTTCGCTGTTTGAAATTCATTGTTCCAATGATTCTCAGTGACACACTGATGCTCTACAAATGCTTAAGCCGTCACTTTATGTTGGTCAAGACCTCTCCTCAGCTTCTTGTGTCCCTGTTGGTAGCCATGCTGTCATTAAGGTCAAAGGTCAAGTTCCTACAACAAAGCAGTGACCAAAATGATACATTTTTATTTATTTAGTTTTAATTACTTTGTTGTTTATTCAGGAATACAACCAGGGCCTTGCTGTCTAATCCCACCTTGTTCTTAACAGAGACGGTGGCTCTTGCTGTTAAATAATCACAATCAAACATGAAAAGTGTGATAAGACCAACCCTTCAGGAGGGATTATTAGCTCATAAAGTATTATTAATTATATGAGAAAATGCTATAAAAGGCACTTGTTCAATGACTGGACAAAGCAAAATATGTGTAGAAACCTTGTTTGTTTTCTGGAGCCAAAAACCACCTGTCATAAACTGGTGTGACAGCAGCTGTGGCCAGGTTTGGCTTTGCTGGCATTGCCAGTGGGCTCCCACACTCGTGGCCCGCTCTTGGCCACCCGCCCCGCTGCCACCTTGATGGCCACTGGGCCTCTGGGCGATGCTGAGCAGAGCTCTCTGCCATGCCGGGCTGCACCACGGAACCATCAGGCTGCTGCAGGCCAGGACTTTAAGGGCCTCAGGTCATTATAGCACTTGGCCTTTGAAAGTCAGCCGTGAGCTGGTCCGGTCTGGACGCCGTTGTTTGGACACTGTGATCCAAACCCTGGCCTCTGATATCGCGCTCTTCTACAGTACACCACCACATCCTTAGGGAGTGTTTGAAGCGATCTTAAGTTGTGCAAGCGTGTGTGTGTTGTAGATGAAGGAGAGTCCACCCATGGCCACATCTGAAGTGACTGCTCAGCTGAGAGGCAGGAGGCGTGGCCTGTGTGTTGCGATATCTGTGATTAGCTGGCATGTGTGTTGTGTTTGTGTGACAGAGTGTGTGTTAGCATGTCTGCTCAAGTGACTGACAGCAAGAACAACACACAAATATTGTTTGTTTGGTTTTTGCCATCACTCTCTCTCTCTCTCTCTCTCTGTCTCTCTCTGTCTCTCTGTCTCTCTGTCTCTCTGTCTTCTGTCTCTCACTCTCTGTCTCTCACTTTCTTTTTCTCACTCTCTTTCACACACAGACACACTTAGTCATTAGGCAACGTGGCGTTCGTTGGCGTGGCGTGTGTGGTCCAGGGGGAACCGTCATTAAGGCGCTCAGCCAGGGTTTGTTTTGGCGTTGGAAGGGCCTCCGGTCCCTGGAGGGCGCCGCCGCGCTCCTGGGGTCCGGTTTGTTTATGACAGTTTGGAGGAGGCTGTCAGTGCCGCAGCACCAGTGGGTTCCAATGCTAATTGGTCTCCTGGAACCTTGGCTAATGGTTCCGAGTGGCTGGGGGGAATAAATTATTGTGGCGAGTTGGTTGGTTCGGTGGCAACTGTCGCACACACAAACACTACGTGGGTGCAAGTGCGCACACAGACACTGCCACCCACCCAGTTTCTGATTTTTCTGCACTTACAGATCAGACACTTTGATGAATGATTTATAAACACCTCATTTGACATTCGATCTGACGCTTGTTGGTCAAATGGTAATTTGATTCAGGACAGTAGGGGGCGTCACAGGGTCAATTAGGTTATTAGAAGTTACCGGAAGATATGCTAAAGAGCTCCATGAAGTAAAGAAAAAAGAAAAGGAAAATAAATAAAGACAAAAAGATCAAAATTATTCGATCCAATGTTAACTTTTTGAAAAGTTTCAGCCCCAGCCTCGTTCAGTTACTCTTTTAAGCTCAAAGTTTAACTTTTGACTTTAACAGAGAAAACATGTAGTCTTTGGTCTTTGATCTCTGCACTTCACTTTTCCAAAACCTTTTTTAATAACTTTTAATAACTTTAAATGTACCCTCATGGAACTAGAATACATCGTAGAACTTAAGTTCAGTGGGTTTCGCTTCCTTAAAAGCGCAAATATGCTCTTTTTAAATCATTCAAGGCTGAGAAGACACCAGCTAACAATACAGTCCTGAATTATTGAGTGAGAGTGGTGAAAGGGTCAAGATCAGATAAAATAGGACTCCTCTAAAGCTTCACATCAATAGTGGAGGTGTACAGCCCCACCACCTATTTCTGATCCACTATATCTATCTCTATAACTCCCTACACATGGCTGCGGTACCTGAGTCTGTTCTGCTGAGACCAACTGCTGGCTCACCTTCCTGAGGTGGTTCAAGAGAAAGAAAGAAACACACACACCTCCACCCACCTGCAGCGGTGGTCGGTGCCCACGTTGACCTCTGCTTCGGTGAGCCATTTCCTGGGCCACTGGCTGGTTGTCAGAGAGGAGGAGGAGGAGGAGGTGGAGGTGGAGGTGGGGTCACTGGGTGTCAGCCAACTGTTAGTGACCTTGGTTTGGACCTGAGCCAACTGTGTGTGTGTGTGTGTTAGTTTGTGTTCCATTTTTTTTTACATTTAAATATTTGAATACTACATACAATATCATACTTTTTTTTTAGATTATCTTAGGTTTATTGTTGTATTTCTCTGATGCTGAATAATTTTACCAATATTTAATTTAACCAATTTGTTACTACATCAATACCTTGTGTAGTATTATTTACATTTACATTTGATATTTATGGTCATCTTACAGGCTGACAATCAGACTAAAAATATACAAATAATTGACACGATGCTTTCTTAAAGTGTCCAGCATTTTCTTTCTAACAGAAAACTACAGTTTTAAACCACACCAAAGTCCATTACATTATTTAATAATTTTACATCACAGAACCCAGTAGCTGCTGATCTCTCACTGCCTGAGTAAGTACTTTTATATTAGATATTTTATTGTCTTTGCTGCTTGACTTTATTCATCTGGAATATTCTAGCAGTACAGACATATGACACTGGGCAGCAGTGGGCCAGCGTCTGCTCTGTCCCAGCAGGTGAAAGTCACTGATTTTCCCTCTGGACTTTGGTGTAGGGGAATGAAAAAGGCTGTCGAACAGTTATACAAGCAGGAAACCTAAAACGATTCTGACATAAATGTCATTACCTGACTCTTCTGTTAAGTGACAAAATCCGATTTTCTTATGCCCCTGCTGGCAGACATTTTTCTGCTGCAGGGAGCCTCCATGTCTCAGGCTGGTGGTGGCAGCAGGGGGTGCATGCAGCACAGACAGCTTTAATTGTTTAATAAAAAAAAACAAAAACAGCTTATTTACTTTTTATCTTGTTTTCTTCTTCTTTCAGTCGTTGTTGTGACAAGAAAAGCTGCGGAAATCGTAATGAGACGCCGTCAGATCCTGTCATCATCGACAGGTAAGAACTGCTGCTGTTCATACTCACCCACTCACAGACAACTGTCTTATGTGTTCGAGTGATCACAGGGGTCACAGGGGTCACATGGGTCACGGGTTGTTGAAGGTTAATTTAGCAAAATGACGTTACTTTGTAGACTTTGTGTTTTAGGATTTTATCCTAATGATTATCATTATTATCATTATTATCATTATTATCATTATTATCATTATTATTATTATGTATCATGTATTTGGTGGTCAGTGCTTGCGCTTCTTTGTAGTTTTGCTCGTTGTTCGGCTTTGACAACATCCGACTCTTTGTTTCCTGTTTTCTCACGTCTGAGCAACGAAACGACGCTCAACTGTGTGAATTCTGTCATCAACACCACACCCATGCTCACACACACACACACACACACCCCTGCCAAAAGACACATACAAAGAACATGAAAGCACATGTTCTTCCGTCTCATAGTAGAAACACGGTCTGATAAAACACCACTATTTGTAAGTGGTACAAAGAGGAACCCAGAGTGAAAGCAAAAGATTGGCTTTAGTTTTTGTGAATATTATTTCATTATTCCTAAAATATTAACAAATTTAAAAAGTAAAGTTCTCGAGGTAGACCAAAATTGTTCCACTAGTTTTAAGAGGAATCCATAAAAATAAAATTCTGCGGGACAATGAGCCAATGTCCCCTTTATAATGTCTACAATCATAAATTGTACCACATTTATTGTGTCTTTACAATAGAACAAATGTTAACCTTTAAAAAGCACTCTCATTTGAAGTGAAAACACTTGTAAATGTGCACCAGTATTAACTCGTGTAGGAGTAAATTGGAATTGTAATTCTCAACATCATGACTGTGTTTCAATGTGGTGGATTTTGACACCAAACACGCCATAGTCGACATCCAGAAGGTTATATCCTGTTGTTTGTACACCTTCTACAGTCTGTAACTGCTACTGCTTCACCTCTGTCATTCTTGATGTAAAATGACTTCCTTTGTGCAGTAGACAATGTAGGCCAGGAGACACTGGATCTAAACACAGTTGTTCTGAGGAATATCCATAGTTGGTGTCCTATAAAAGGTAATTTTACTGCTTGAACAATTTGTCATAGTACTGAAAAAAGTGGGGTTAATTTAAATCTGTTCTTTACTTAATATTGACCCACTTCCTACGTGTAAGCCGGCTGACTGATGAGAATTCATTAGTGATTCCTGTTCAGGTCAAACAGAATATCAATGGAACATCTTCATCAAAACTGAAACCGACACGAGAGTCTTGCTCTCTCTCTCACCCCTCCCTTCCTCCTTCCCTCTGTCTGTCTGTCCGTCTGTCTCTGTCTCTCCCTCCTTCTCTCTGTGTTAATGGCTAAAATCCTGCAGACGCAGCAGAAGGCTGCGCAGACTGATTGTCGCTACATGCCGTTATTACACGCTAATATTGCAATTAGATGGGCGAGCCAGGCAGTAAATTCCCTCTGAGTGTCAGGGCGGATGAAGAGGCGGAGCTCTAATTACCCAGAACACACCTTTGCACGCACACCCCTGCTGTCCGACCAACACACTCCTGCTTTAATGGTCAGTCCTTTACTGTGAGGTCATGACCCTTGGAGTCTCTTTCTCTCTCTCTCTCTCTCTCTCTGTCTCGCACACACGCACACACACATTACCTGCTGCTCTAACAACGTTTGCGGGTTTGATGTCCTTTTCTGGAGATGAGTTAGGAGTGATGTAGAATCACCGCTGACCTTTGACCCTGTCCGCTGCCAACGTGTAAGAAAGAGACGTGAGGAAAATGTAACTCATCACTGTTGAGAAGTCTCTTCTCCGTCCTCTCTCATTTGCTTTGGATGATTACAAGAAGGATAAAGTGAGATCTGCTATGACGTATGATTTGGAGATCGTAATTCTGTCTAACAGATGGGATGATGAGCTGGAGGTTTGGTAGGTGAAGATGCCGACGTTGTGACGTTGTCTTTGGGAGTGACCAGGTTGGACAGGATTGGAAATGAGGGGTGGGTCACAGGAACAACTGGTGTAGGAGTGAGCAGGACCCCAACATTAATTGTAGACACTGTGAAGGAGATATAGGTTGATGGTTGTTGAGTTGAGGAGACAAAGAGGTGAGATGAAGGCAGATGATCTGCTGTGATGACACCTGAAATGAGCAGCCATCAAAGCCCCACCAATGTAAAATTGACATTCATTTGACTTGATAGATAAGATTTGATAGAAGAAGACGTCTTTAGTTTCAGGTTAGTTCAGCCGTTGGACTGCTATGGTTAAGGTCAACAATGAGGCTTAAGATTGGTTGTTTACAAATGAATGCATGACAATGAAGCACGGTCACATGAAGAAGCTACAGTAACATCTGTATATGTGTGTCCTGATAATAGTTTAGATAATTATGTTGTTATGTTGGGGCTATCTCCCCCTTAGACTCTCTCTCCCCCCCGCCCCGCCCCTCCCTCTCCCTCCCTCTCTCTATCTTTTCCTCTTCAGCATTGTATGATATTGATTGGGCCGACGAGGACCATCAGATGAAGAGTATAGATTTACTATAAAAGCAGAAGGATACTGTGCGAGCATGGCTGAAATTGGGGGTTGAGGAAGGGAGGAAGAGGGGGTGAAATGCAGAAAGACACACAGAGAGAGAGAGAGACAGAGAAAGGTTGGTTTGTGGTCCAAAGATGGCCGCAGGGGGTTGTGGGTAATTTGACTTAAGTGTGGCGGCAGATATATGCAGGTCAACTGCCGTCGTTATTTAAGGCAACCGAGAGACGTGACGCATAAATAGAGTAATGCATCACAGATAAACCACGTCAGTTCGGAGCCTCATCTTGGCCGTATTAAAGACATCATGTGCATTGTGGGAAATGCTTGCAGGAGACAAATGCAGATGGCTGCAGCTCATGAACTAAGACGCAGCCCCAAGAGAGAACATCTGGAAACTTCCATTTACTTTTTTCTGTTACACTCAGAGGTCAAACGTCAGAGGTCAAGTATCGGTCTCAGTCAGTCCTGTTTTTAGTATTTCAACACTCGCTGTGTGTGTTTTATGTGTGCGCATGTGTGTCTAAATTAACAAGGTGCTTTGCCTCAAGGGGCTGAAGTGCATGCTGGGAGGAGGATTTGGTGAAGGGTGAGGATTTGGGGCGACTCCTGGAGTTCCCATGATCCCCTGGTGCTGATGTGTGTGTGTGTTTCCAGCTGAGCACTGCTGGATGTTGACATGAAGGTGGTTAATGAAGCTGCAGGTGATGATGTAATCACATTTGGCTTTAAATCTTCGATCCAATTAAGAATCCACAGGAAGTGAGTGATGGTGGGCTTTAAGTTTTTTTAATTATATTATTATTATATTAAATGCAGTACATATAAATATTAGAATGTAAACTGTAGTTTTTGATTTTATTTATGTGCTTGAAGTATTACTTTAAAGGCTTTAATTAATATGATTTACCTCCTTTTCTTTTTTCTTCTTTTTCCTTTTACATCTTTTGACAAAGAAAACCTATGTTGGTATTATTAAATTTATTTCATTTAAAAAGACCAGCATGGGAAAGAAAAGCTTGTGTGTGTCTTTGTGTGTGCACGTATGCATGTGTGTGTGTTTGTGGGTGTGTTAGCAAAGTGAGACGGGCAAGCCCAGGCAGAAAGAGAGAGAGGGAGAGATGATGATGTGTGATGAAGAGGTGAGTGGTGGAGGAAGTGGAAGGGGGTTGTGGTGATGGAGGAGTGAGAATGAGACAGTTGGGGAGGGGGGGGTGGCGGCAGGGGGTGAAGTGAAGGGGGAGTAGGAGAAGGAGTTGAGGAGGGCAGATGTATTGATTTCTATATAAAGATGGAGGGGAGAGAGAGAGAGAGAAAGAGAGAGAGAGGGTTTTAATTACATATCTTCTGCTTAGTTAGATACTTGGTCTCTTTAGCCTCTTTTACACAGAGGTTGGGGTATATTCCCACCACAGTGCCCCCCCCCATACCTCCTTTATACCTCCATGCTAGCAGTTTTGCTATCAGTGCCTTTTCTTTGCATATAAACAATCAAGTTGTGGGGCGGTTTAGGTTGGGGTTAAGTTAAAACAGAAAATAAAGCTGTAAAAAGAAATTGTCTGAAAGTGAATTTGAGTTTCCAAATACTTCCATGGCTTCAAATACAGCCATGTGAGTCATTTTTCAATTACTTTTCGAGGACCATCTTTTATCTGTGCTCTATATTTTATTTTTTAACTTGACCATATGCTCATAATGCCCTATTGAAAATAATTAATGTATATACTGACTCGTATAAAGCTAAAAAAAAGATCTAAATGCATTTGGTGTCTCCTCATAAAGGTGCCTCCTTTTTGTTAATCAGAAACCCTTATACTTTCTTTGAAATTCTTGTATGCTGATTGGCCTATGTCTGATTCATTTTGAGGCCTATGAATATGAATATGAGTTCTGGGTGCAATACTTTTGCTGGCCAATAGGGATTGATACTTTTTTTATCTCAGGAATCAGCATATTTTATCATGAAATGTTCTTGCTTTGTGTTTCGCCAATTGTCCAGCTTTTATCTAACATTCCATCTGAGTTTAGGAAGTAAAATAAAGTAAAAAAAAAAAATCTTACTAAACTTTTTGGTTGGGTGGAAAAAAAAACAAGCTAACAAATCATCTTCTGGACAGCATTATCATCTTGTTACAGCTTTTAAATAGTGGAGGCAGCATCGCAAAACACAAATGTGACGCCCTTGAGGTAGACAGTACAGTTACCCAGCTGCTTGTGAAAAGTTTTTATAAAGTTTTAAAGGAAACTTTCTACAATTGATGCAGCAAGACATACGAGACAAGCCATCAGGATGTGAGTGAGGCTCAACATGAAGGTTAGGAGGTCAGGACGGTCAATCCATGGTGTAGAGTACTATTTGGACACAAACAATAGACTTGTTACCTCTGGTCGACTGGGACGGTGAATTTGGTTTGTGTTGAACTGAATCTTGATCAATGACACGAAAACATCTTCAT